CTCCCCACCACCCCCACCAAATGACCTATGAATTATAAATGAATTATGAATTAAGCGTTCCCTTAGATATATTATTATTAGATATATTATTATAAGGAAACAAAACTAATAAATGCTGCCTTAAATATATTAGGCAATAAAAGGTTGGGTAACAAAAAATAATCAAAGAATAACGAAAGGATTATATTCTATTATAATGCAGGGCATTCAATATGGTATAAACTGGGTTGTAAAGAGAGTTAAACAAATTAAAGGCTTTTAAAGCGAATTTTGTAATTTTAGTTCGTTAATTACTGACACGTGTGCCAAGCATGCGGCAGAATAAATCGACAAGCTTTGAAGTCACCACGCACGACTTAGAAGGCTACGCGTGGCATCTGATTGGCTGACTGATAACACAGCTAATCATAGCGTCCTCTGAATGGCTCGACTGATAAGTTGAGAACAGTGATGTGTTTTTGGCAGATTTAATCCACGGTTTGACACAACTCTCCTTATTGCTCAAGTCCAAGTGAATGTGAATTGCCACGTGGAAAGAAGTTGAACTATTGGGCTATTGTTTCCGGGCCACACCCAAAGATGGTGGGTTTAATGCCTGCGTGCAGTAATTAAAAGGGGGCAATTACAAATGATCATAGTGATTGTAACAAAGATATTCCATATCTCAAGAACCGACACTAGAGATTGGAAACTCATCTTCTCGTTAGAGCCAAGTGGTTCGCAGTGTTGTGAGAATGAAAAATATATAGTTAAAAGTTTGAAGCAGGACTGACAGACAGATCGACAGAGAGCGGACAAAAAGCATAGGCTCCTATGAAAGAAATAATTTGACGAGAGAGCGTCGCATGTCTTTTTTTGACTTAAAGGTCGTTAATGAAATGATAAAATCAAGTTGTCACAAGATTAACAGATCTGTTGAAGTGTATCCAGTACAAACACTCACGAAATACTAAGGCCCCGTTTACACGAAGCCGGATATTTTTGTAAACGCATATTTTTTTATCCGTTTAGGCCTACCGTTTACACGGAGACGGTCTTTAGCCGGCTATTTTCGAAAACGCTTTTCGAAGCGGATATTTTTGAAAACGCTGGCTATGCGTTTTCGTGTAAACACTCGAAGCCAGATATTTTCGTAAACGTTGACGTCACTGAACAAAGGAGATAGTAGGCTCAGGAACTATGCGCATGCTCATTTAGCTCCTATGAGCGTTTTCGAGTCGATGGAGCGTTTTCGTGAAAACTCGGTCGAAAACGATGAGCGTTTACACGAAGCCGCATGTAAACGCACATTCTTTTACCCGGATAAAAAAATATCCGTTTTCGTCATTCGTGTAAACGGGGCCTAAAACAAAACCCATTACTTGACATTACTGGAACATGTTTTTCACGCGCGCCTTTGTTTTCTCATATGAATTCCCTATGGTTTCTCAATAAGCCTGAAGCGAGATGACGTTTTACCCCCGACTCTATACCATAATAGTTTTTTTAATTCTTTCATATTCAAATTTTTGATTCCTTAGAGAATACAGGAACAATAGTCATAATTAAAGAACAAAAGCAGTGTGAAAAGGATTATGATCTAGAGACGGGGGTAAAACGTCATCTCGCTTCAGGCTTATTGGGCTCCCTGTTATAGTATTCTTCTCAAAATTAGGCGTTAACTTTAGAATTATGAATCCTATGTTAGACTTGCATTCAAGATAGTTTTGCAAAGGGGCCGGACAATGTTAGATTTGCCGTTCGCTTAGAGGTAAAAAAATAGAACTTCAGCTCCCCTGGAAGCTGGGGTCGGTGTCCACTGGTAGAACGAAGCTTGGGATTGGGCAAAATAACAAAAACAAAGAAAGCATGGATTATGGTGAACAATGTGTATTGTTCCACATGTGAGCTGCGTTCTTTGTTTTATCTCACCATTCATTGTTTGTTCATCGACTCCCAGGCTTCGTTCTGCCTGTTGTGTGTTACCCGGAAGCTGAGAGCACAATTCATCACCGCCTATTCAATAAATATTGTACAAGAACACTAATACAGCAACAACAAAAACAACAACAACAACAACAACAACAATAACAACAAATAAACATTGCAAAAATTAATTTATTTTTAATAATTATAGCATGAATAATAGCACCTTAAAGAGGCTTTCCAATCTCTGCACTTTGTACCTTCTCCGTTGCATGAGTACCATCACAGAAAGGAGGGGTTGATGTTTGCTTGCAACAACACAGGAATGCTTCAGGGATCTCTTCTTCTAGTCTAAAGCGATGAGGACTCATGCCTGATCCCTTGTGGCTTCCATCACAGAAAGGCTATTGTTTTTATATGTAAGACAGAAGGAAGTTCCTCTTATTGATAAGGACCCAGAGAAGGAACAAGAAATGTAACATAAAGAAAAACCTGTTTACATGTATTATAGACGTGGGGCGTCTGATTAGGTGGGAGAGCAAACCTGTGGTACTCAGCTATTATTTTATTATCTACACATATAATTCATATAAAACATACCAGTCGCACTAGGGATATTGGAGGGGAGAGGGTAGAGTGGGGGGGTGGGGGGTGGAATAGATGGTGTTGGGTGCGAATGTAAATAGGAAATAACTAATAATTAACTATGGATTTTAAGGGTTTTTATTAGGGCTAGATAGGTGTCTCCAATTAGTTTCTTAATTGTAAGCTAGATATACATGTGCTGGTTGTCATGGAGTACGGACGTCTAGTTTTCACTCCAAGAAGATCTCGTAAATTTTGATTTAAAAACTAAATTTGAACTATTGTAATTAAACTGTTAGCTTTTTATTTATTCATCTTCTTATTTATCGGTAAATCTTCAAATATTCATTTAATGTAATATATCGCCTCCCACCTAGATTAGTTTAGTGATATTTGCGGGAGGGTGATAAATTGTGTAAATATAGACATTCTTTTGTAAAATAAACTTGAACTTGAACGAAAGACACGTTAATAAAGTTATTATTATTATAAAGTTGTTATTATTATATATGGACCTAATGAAGACAAGGAAGGTAAGAGAGACAGTACTTATATTCCTTGAGAAAACCCTCATAGCAAGGGAGAGAACAACACAATATAATACAGTTATAATAGTTTATTCAGGACACAAATATTCAGGAACATATATGTATAATATGATATAGCAAAAGCAAAAACAAAGTGGAAAAAATGAAACAATAGGCACCCAAAAGGAAGTTAAGAGTTTAAACCTATGTAAAAACTCCCTAACCAATGGAACATATGTACAAATGAAAGAAAGCAGAGTGCGTTGAACACATATAACAACACATCTAGAACAAACTCAAAACCATGTCTCATATTACAAGTAGGTTCGGCATAAGATTCATCTGAGTCTCAAACCAGCAACCCCAAGATTGAACCACACAGCAGTGAGAGAGTCGTAGGGCAGTGTTGTAGGGCAATGTTGTAGGGCAAATCCTCACCACCAAAATTTGGTATTTTAGTGGCTCCCCTCCCTCTCCTTGGGAACTAAATTAACTTTTGCTGAGGGCTACATACCCTTGATGTCCTAGCTTTTAAGTCAAAAGAGTAATTTGACCTGCCCTCACTTCTTTGGGCTTATCCATTTAAGTTTTAGAAATACATCATGATTAAGGGAGTCTGTTTTTCTCTTCTCTCACCCATAGTCATGAAATATTACTAACCTGTTTCTTGCTGCGTCCACAAGAACACCAGGAATACTTTTTGTCTGCCTTTAGTTCTACTTGCATCGGAGCTTTGGCTGCTACAAGAGGTGAACAGAATCCTCGCACAACCTGTGGGGATTAATACATGTTCATTTTGCAGCTTCAGCACTGCAGCAACATTAGTTGGCTACTGATACATGTATATCAAAGGCAACTGATAGTTCGAATTAGAATTTAGAAATTCATCTTTATGGAAGGAGGAAAGACCAGAGAACCACTAGCGAGCGTAGAGAGGGGATACCAAAAGTTAATTATTTAATGCAGGATTCCTATGGATTTGGCAGTTAAATCCCCCCTATAATCAATACCTCACTACGTCCCAGCAGAAAGCCCAGAGATAAAAACCCTCGAAGCACAGGAGAAAATCAACAAACAGCTCTACTAACTCATGTATCTATCTAATTGAGCTGATCTGTGCAGTATATCAAGCAACTTATGGAGCTGCTAATTATTATCATTACTAGTCAATCAGATTATTATTACATTATTACCACTAATATACAATACATATAATATATACTAACAAATATATAGTCTATATATATTCTCATATACATAACTCATATTTGATGCTGATCTAGTCTAGGAATCGATCAAACCTGGGTGGTCTTGGTGAGAGGAAAGCGAGTGCATGCTCTCACTGCTCACTTCAATACCAAATTTCATCATGCAACTCTGAGACACAGAGTTCACATGTTTATAAAAATTGCAGTCACATACCCCTAGGGTCTGACGGTCTGATTTGAGGGTTTTTCTCTCCCAGAGGTGTCTTTGAAGTTCGCTAAGAGTTAGCTATATATCATGGATTTCATAATTCACGATATTAATATCAACCTCATCAAAAAAGTATTGAATGAGGTTGAACATTATATCGTGCATAAATTGTTTATATTATAAAAGGGCATGCTTGGGTTTAATAGGACATGTTTAATAATAACAATTTTCCAATTTTCTAAATAATAATAATAAGAAATGAATATTTAAAAGATCATAATTTGTTAAGAACTAATCAGAGTGTAGAATTATTTGTAAAAAAATTTAAATATTGATACTATTAAGATATATAATTTTCTTTAAAAAAAAGGGCATATACAGCTTACTCAACCACTCACAAAAACTTACTTATCAAACACATCTTACCCGAATAACTGGTAGCTGAGCTCTAGATTGTCTTACGGCTTTTACCAGAAGAGATGTCATTGCATTCAAGTAAATAATTTTGAAGATATTCAGATGTAAATGTTATAACCTAAAGAACGAACAGACTGCAAAATGCCCTCAAGCTGCAATATTCACTAGGCGTTACTTGATAGGACGCGTGAGTGTACAAGAGACTGGGTATATGATCTCAAATTTCAAAAATGGCGGACGGAAGGAACTAAAGTGTGACAAACTTTGATGCGAAAAATATTTGCAAACATTACTTTTTTCCTTGCTCGGATTGTCTTTGAATTTACCAAATTTTAATCATGGAGTTAAGTAGTTCGGTGATCGAAGGATTGACGCTTTGTGGAGAGTCGGTGAGGATCGGTGATCGGGGTTTTCGTGTACTTGTCGGACTTGTCTTTGATATTCTGCTCAAACTAAAGGACGAAAGTACGCTTTCAGGTACGATAGCATGTCTGTTTTACCATCGTTCGGTAAACATTTGTCTTTTCTCTGTAGTTATAAGTTTGTTTGAAATGTGTTTATAGTTGCTAATAGCCGAATTTTTAAATATGAAGCTTATGTGAGTTAGTTAAACAAAATCTGGATTCCAGGGGTGTATCGGGTGGCTATAGCTATCGATATCCATCCACCTTTGGAGTTGTAAAAATAAGAAGAAAGAGTAATATAATATTTTCATGATACATAGAAGGTTGTATAACATGTACGATTGATATAGAGCCCCTTTTATATGTACAGTATATAATCAAAAGTGCCCACAACCATGAGAGGTGGTTAGTATGAGGTGTATACATGTATAAATTAAGGCACAGAGGGTGTTCATTGTGCTGCCAGGGCTTCTTTGCATCCTCCTTTTTATTCCCTCCGATATTGGTTTGCGATGATGAAGTATTGAGAGACAGAACTGCCATTTAAAGTGATCATCCAAGCCACTTGAAAGTCTATTTTCTCCTCAGCTATTTTAAGACCCTGAGTGTTGGTCTGGGCAGGTTGTATATGTCCACATATAGAGGTTTTGCAACATCACATGCCTGTGCCCATAATCCAGCATAGACTGCCTGTGGTTAGGTGGCAGAACAATAAAATCCCTGTGCTCTCGGGAATTAAATTATTTCTCATGTAAAACAATCGTATTGTTCCTGCCGTCTAACATGGCTGCCATCACGTGATGGTGCAAAACCTCTATACAACTTATGCTTAACCAACTGAGCCATTATACTACCTCTCTAGAAACAGCCACCATATTCAAAATCATCATCCTGGCTGGGCTAAAAATAACAGCTGCTTGATGACCACACAAGAGGACCAGCTTAGTTGTTTAGCTGATCAAATGGCCAGACATTGTCCATTAATTGTCTGTTATTTTTAGCCATGCCAGATATCTGCCACAGACTAAAGTGAGTCCTCAGTGAATGTCAATCCCATTCCCTTCCTGTCATTCCCTGTGGGAAAGAGGGGCATGGAAACAAGCCTGTTTCACATGCATGTCTTATGCTTCCTGTTGCTGAACGTATTAAGTTTAAAATAATTCTACTAGCATTCATGGTCTTTCTCCTGTTTACGTCCTCAAGGAACTCATCACCGTTCACAAATCTGCTAGGAATCTTCACTTGTCTTCTCACTTGTTGCTGTCTTCAAAATCTTATAATCTCAAGTCATATGGTCTATGTTCTTTCTCAGTTGCTGTTCTGCTCCTCTGGAACTCTCTACCTTCTTCAATTAGAGATATTTCCAGTTTATCTTTATTTAAATCTAAACTCAAGACTCATTTATTTAAGTTAGCTTTTTCTTTATAATCATATAATTATCTATCTTATTTATTTATTCCTTTAACGTTATGTTACTAAGCGCTTAGAACAGACTTGTATAAGC